CAATTTAAGCTATTTGAAGTTAGATACTCCTTTTGTGAAGGATAATTATAGGATATTAGTTATATCCACTTACTGAAGATCCCAGTTTTAAGTGACACATCGCCTTATCCCGCCGTGTAATCTTAATTTTCAGTTACTTAACTTGGACCCCAGCAAAGGATCTTCTAAGTAGTGTATTAGATTTAAAGCTTTGCGTCGCTCTAAGAAATTAGCTACGTTATACATATTTATCTTACCACAATTTTAACTTCAATACTGTCCTGAGATTCAGTGTTGTACACAAATATTAGAATATTCATTTACTTTTGACAAATATTTTACTTCATGACTAAAGCTGTGACTATGACTAAAACATGAGACAGTGTTGTTGTACCTTTGTGCATAACCAAACTAATAATATAAACAAAGTAATTCTGTAAATATAATATCATTATTTCTATTAATGCAGCGTGCTTATTATATAATATGGGTTATTGAAAGTGCTCACCTGTAATTAAGGTTTTCTGAGATTTTCATTTAATGATTACTTTTCTAGTATATTTATTTATAATTGGTGCACTAAATCCTCTGGACAATCTTTAATTAATTTAATCTCTAACGATTTGTCTTTTGCACGCACAAAATATAGGTTGATGGTATTTTGGTATGACCGTTGCAAATTGTAAGTATTTTTATTTTAATAATTTATTCTTCGCATTATAATAGAATAAATCCTAGAGTTTGTATCTTTGTTTCTGGAGATAATTGATTTTACTTCTCTTTAGAAAAATATTTTTCATAATTCATAATACTTTATTTCTGGAATATAGGTTAGTTACAGATCTTAAATGTTATGTTAAAGTTTCACTACATCCTACCACATTACATGGTGTACAAATAATAAATCTAGAAAATAATAATTACAATTTAAATACATTACAAAAGAAAGAAGAAAAGACAATTTATGCGTCTACAAATATTAAGTCCAAGTAATTACATAATAATTTTTCTGTATGTCAATTTTTAAATTATTATTAGCATGCCAATATTAAAATAATTCTACATAATACTACATATTACATTATTTTGTCATGGAAATATTCGTCAATAGGCTTTATTTATTAAAAATAAATTTAATTTATTTTTAAATGACTATATTTTTTGAATTTAGTATACATTTGGGCAGCTTGTTATAGACTTTAGGTGCCATGACAAATATGATTTTGTGATATAGGGCGGTTTTAGCTTGGACCATATGTAGCTTACCAGCTCTGCGGTTACTTGACACCTTTGAAAATTTTTGTTAAAAAATATACAACAGGTTGGTTAGGAACTGTCAGTGTATAACTTTAAAGCACTAAATGTGGTGTTGTGGCTTAACTCACTGGAAAATTTCTAAAATATATTGGGAGTAAAAATGTTAGATATAGAGTACCAGCTTAACTCTTGGTCGACACACTCGCGGTCATTCGCTTAATCTAGCTTCATGACATCAGACCTCCTCTTTGTATCCACGCAATCTGATCGTTGAACTTCACACCTCAAGTTATTGTTCAAAGTTCACTTCACCCAACGACGTCGCCGACAACTTTAAGGTCTACATGTCCCTATCGGTCACTTTGTCTTTGCAAAAACTTTCAGTTTTAGTTTATAAACTGTAGGATTTCAAAAATATAAATCCCACTGTACACCTTTGAATAAAACCACACGACAAAAGTACCGCATCGGTGTCATTCTTTTAAATTATGTCAAAACTAAGGGTTATGATGAAAAAAGCACAAACTTTTCCAATTACCTATTCAACTGCGTTCGGAAGAAATTCACCACTCCTTGAACAAACGCCTCTATGAAAAGAAATCACCGAATAGGTGAGCGCGGGAGTAAACTCACAAGTAAACATTTGCGTATGTAAACTGGAATTATTCACGAAAAAACTTTTAATGGCGTCCCCGGAGTTCCCGTCAAACATTTATCAACAAAAGAACGAACGTCCCGCAGGCGATGGAACTTGAAATGTATGGAAATTACCCAGTCACGAGCGGGAGAACAATTCACTAACGTTGGCATAGTCAAATGTTTTTGTTGCAGCTTGTTTCGTTGTGTAACTTGTTCAGATTTGAAGTCACAATTACAGAATGTTGTCAGGTACTTACAAAGTTTGTGCGTCACATACGGAGGGTGCAATCATTACACTTACCCTTTTAAAAAACGAAACATTCCGTGGATGCAAATGATTCGTCAAATGTTCAGTGTTGAGCGTAGACTGGCCCTCGTTGGGCGCCAAATAACTCGGCACGGAATAATGAACTGCTTCAGATTCTTCAGCAAACAATCCCTGTCATTACTCGACTGCAGAGAGAAAATGAAATTTTATAAATTTTGCTACTAATTCTGAATATTTAAATTTCATATTTTTATAATTTTAAAATTGCAGGAATTTCACTTTAAGTCTGTATAAACGGAAATTTTAGATGCAACAATTTCAACAAATTATCAACAATTTTGTCGCATAATAACGCCTGTTATTTGATTAAATACATTATCTTTGTAATTTCAGAAGATTAGGTAAAGAGGTGAGATAGAATAAATACGTTTAGAACGGACACCGTTTCATTTGCATTTCAATCAGAACGATATAGCCGGTAGAAAAGAAAGCTCGCTCCGTCGCCTCACTTAAAGCTTTTGAAATATTCCTATAACTTCTGATTCTACGAAAAAAGGCCTATTTGGATTGGAAAGATCAAAGCGTAAAAATTTATCGTTACAAAAAAGCGTGGCAGGAACGGCCAAAACGACGTCAGGCACTTATTATTTCAACAGAGCGAGTGTCTCGTCTCCTCTCTCATTCTATTTGTCTTTTCGATTGTTCCGGTGCATAGACTCCTCCATTATTTGGCACTGAAAGGAAAGTTTTGTATTCAATTTGGTATTATAATTCCCATTCGAAGTCGCCACGCACCATCGCGTCGACATCGGCTATGTAAATGGGCGTTTCCGGGTCTTAGTCACATTTTCACCAAAAAAAAATTTACAGTTTATGTTAAAGAATTTTTATTTTGTATCTACAGACCATGGCGGTATTTATGTTATTAAAATTTAACCATATTGTTAGAAGTAGCTGTTTAACGTTTTACTTTGATATATATATAAGGAATATATATATACCGCGTTAATCCAACTAGCAGTATCATTTACGTAACCACTATCAGTCAGTTTTTTTTTTTTACTTGTAAAAATATTCTCGCACACCTGACTTGAATTTGTATTCAGCTTCGCGCAGAGCCCCGCCGGGAGACAAGGAAACATTTCAGTGTTTCTCTTCAATTTAAAATGGAAACTTATCCCTCGACTACCATAAAGTCTGTATTTACCATAGAAATCCACCTAGCTAGCTGTGTTCGATCCTATCCGGTGTCCACACTGAATCCACCAGGATTTAGAACGAGCATTGGCTGAACTGCTCCAGAAAGACTTGCATCTATGTACAACGCGGCAGGTTTTATTTTACGAGATGTTTTCTACGACCGTTTCGCAGATACTAAAATAATAAGAGTTTTACGTCGCCGCGTATTATGTAGCTTTTATGGCTCCCCGAGCTTCGCTGAAGCGCTGTTACAGTAGCTTACGAGGGCTCTTGTGACGAAATAATTAACCCAGTGTTGCTCATATTAGACTCCGCTTTCACCTAACATTGACTGCTTATACGTTTAACATTTTATTGTGCCCTTTATACGGAATATGCCGAGATTATAGAATGTTTTTTACATGTATATATCAAATAACGAGACCCTTGATCTTGAGCTGTGATAGCAGGATAATGACGATGTTTCTTTACTTTGGCAAAGAAGAGAACCAAATCACTTTCAATTAGCGGAAATGGTTGTTGCTTTTATTCAATTGGATCCCTCACTCTCTCTCACTCACTCATATTATATTATGAATTTGAAATGGCTCCATTATGTTATTTTAACGTTAAAATTAAGAGGTATTATGGTACCTAAACGAGGGTAGTCAATAGCTGTAGTAACGCGCCCTATGTGTTACGAAATACAACGTTCAGAACTATAAGCGGTCATGTTTACAGGCGGCACCAAATCACGATCGAGATATAGCAGTAGGGTGTACGTCTATATTCCAGCCAGAGACAAGGGACCGATAACAGATTACCCGCAAACACGTTTTAAATTCATTTCCCGACCCGAGCGCCGATCGCTCCCCGATAAAATGTGGGGACGACCCGGGAAACGGGGACATATTTACTTTGTCTCCCCGCGGCCGGCTCGACCGCGGCCACTTCCCCGGTCAGGTAACGTTCCGAAGTGGCAAAATATTTGTCCTGGCTCGTTACCCGTCTGTTCCGATTTAAGAACATTAGCTACTCACAAATCTGAACTAGCTTTGTAATTCGTTTTTTCGGTGTTCTTCCCCTAATTCTAGTTGAGAAAAGTACTCCCATTCACGGTTCATATATTGTTTAAGGGTTATAGTAGTATAGATGCTGTGTAAAGTAACTTATTTAATTACCGTAATCTATAAAAGCTATTAATTATTTTTCAGCAAATATAGGTTTAAATACTAATGTAATAGAAGGTCCCGTCATTTGATTTGTTTTGATTTGAACTACTAAAGTTTCTAAATTTTAGAGTTCTGAGGTAAAAAAATATTTTTTTTTACTTCTCCTACCTACCTACTTAAAAATCATTATTGCTTTTCGGTTACTGTTATTGGAACACTTGCTATCGAGGCTGACAAAATCTAAAACCTAACGTTAAGTGGAACTCCGAGTTCAATGACTAGACTGCACGGATGGCGTAGTGGTTTAAGCGGTCGCCACGCCGCTTTCTATTACGCCGAGTGTTGTGGGTTCAAACCCCACATGGGATAACACTTTGTGTGATCCACAAATTGTTGTTCTGAGTCTTGGTGTACTTTGTGTCCGTTTCATGTATGTTTGTAAAGTCCCCCGCGACACAGGATTTATTCCTAGTGCGGGAGTTGTCTTTTTTTAAGAACAAAAAAAAATGGCTAAACGGAACATGGGTATGATCGTATCGATTGATTTCACAACATGCGTATCTTCCAATACAAAAGAGTATCAGTTGCAATGAATTAGAAGATCTGGTTACAACAAACACTCACAGTATCATAAAATTGCAAGCATTAAAAAGAAGCTGTAGTAGAGTTATGTCTAAAGATACCATCTATTGTACATCCTTATTGTAGCTGGTAAAAATCTAGAGATGAATTTATTTATTTGAAAGTTAAATTAGAGGTAATTATTATTATTATTGGCTTTGGGTAAAATGTCAACATTGTTGCTTTTTTTTTCTAAAGCTTATTTGGTTAAAATTTAATATGATTTAATTTTATTATTTAAATTTAATATATTTAATTTTTGTAACATACTGTGCAGTTTAAAGATACTAAATTTTATAAAATTTTGTTAAATGAGATTTCTCCACACATTCACGTTCTACTAATTCATGTTTTTATTTTACTAAACTGAAAAATGTAACACTATGTGTCTGAAGGGTGACGTAGCTATAATCTGAAAGTGTGAGCAGGTGGATCATTACCGTTAGATTTTATTGCCTGACAGGTAGAAGTTTACTATTCATTCACGCTCCTGAACACACATAATCGGTACACACGGTACATTTTTATTGGAAAAGACAGCTAATAATTAAATTAACGGTCTTAGAAAAACCCATATACCAAATAAACACTAGCCTGTAAGAATACGAGACACCAGTCGATTAGTAGATTTGATTCAGCCACACCAATCTATAAGAAAAGCATTATAATGTCAACATCCTATCAAGCTTGTGCTGTGATACTATGAAAAGATTTACATGCAAGCATGAACATACCACTGGTCAATCCTTGAATTGTTGTGTTTTTATTGTTTATTAATACACTTATCGATAACAGTGCCGCAAAAATACAAATATTTTGTATAAAAAAATCACATCGCCTAAAAATGTAGCTCGAAAAAATTTCAACGGAAAACCAATTTCCTTAATCTGTTAGTCATAGCGGTATTGTTGATAAGCGTTCAAAACTCCTGTCTCGCTTGTTTAACGCTAGAAGGGTTGCAAACTTGTACATGACTAAGTCCCTTACTACGTTAAGAGGCGTGTTTTAACAGCAGATATTTTGATGTACGACGCTTTTTGGCACTCACTCTTGCCTAACAACACTTGCTTCATCCGGTCAATTGCTTTGTGCAACCCTTTGTTCGAAAATTACTTGTTTTTATTGGATTATGAACTGCTCAAAACGAACTTAACCAAGCTTTAATGTTCAACAATACAGTTTTCACGTTTCATTGCTTTTAGATTGTTTACAGCTCGGTACGTGGCACAGTTACTTATATCATTAATTGCTTTTTATTCACTTTGTTTCTTTCTATTTGTAAGTATCTTCACTTAGTAAGTGTTGAAAATCCTTTTTAAAAAGTTCAATATGTTATTGACTCGTTTTCTTAATAAAGGAATATCGATTCCTGATATGGCAAACAATATGGTTTTTATAGTTAGTAATTTTTGTTTTGCTTCTGTGGATTGTTTGGTAATAATGGTCTGTAGTATATATAGAATCAAAATCACTAAACAGATAGACAATAAAAAATAATACTAAATACACCACTATGACATTTAAGATTAAATAATAATTTGTTTTAATCATTGACATAACTTTTCTTAAGTGTAGGAAAGATCTAAAATATAATTACGCGGCCTGGCCTATCGCAAGACAATAACATTAAACGTTTAGTTATTCCCTTAAGCCCTGTAACTTTCTATCGAAGATATCGGTACGACTGTTCAGAACAGTACAATCATATATTATCAGTACGTTAGGGACCTCATCATGGCCAAATGAAATGTGTTTGTATTTATGTTTTATTCGTAATAAATTTACAACTATAAATATAAGCATCTTTTAAAACCATACTTTTATTAAAATTCATAGTGTTTTGGAACATTAACTAAAACTCTAACAGTTGTATATTGAAATAGAAGTCTACATAATAACAAAAGTTTTTTATGAACCAAATTACAATCCAAGTTATTACGACTCAATATTTAAAATACATAACTAAATTCAAACCACCAACTAACCATAATATACTAGCAAATTTAAACCCAAATCGTCGTAATGATAATTAAATATTTAGCTTATATATAAGACCCGTTTCAAAGAGGAAAGGTGAAGAATAGAGACGAAAAAGTATTTAAATCTGCACGAATTTTATTTATCTTTGCGGAACGCCGGCGGCGGTTAAATATCTGCGGCTACCCTCACTCCAGGAAACAAATGTAAACACACCATTGCCTTTGAAACGCTATCCTGGAATATACGCCTGCATACCGTAAATAGTTTTGACTGGGACTTAAACTGTTTGAGATTTGTGTCTTCTTTAGATTCGTATGTTGTTTTGGGACTGGCTCCTGGTTAATTTTTCATATATTAACATTTGACGCATTCATTTTGAAGTTTATCTACTTAATAGACAATTCATCAATCCAAGTTTGGTAGTACCTCAACTTCTCTCAGTTGATTCTTATGACGATGCACACAATATATAAAAAAAATACTATATCTAAAAAAACATGTAACTTAATGGAATATTTATAATGTGTAAAGTGACTCCTCCAAGTTTTCACAATAGCTGAGCTAAACATATTCCCTCGGAGTCGTTTTAAAGATGGCATACATAATCTGGCGGTGGATGCGTTTCCTCAAAGACACACTATCAGCATAAGCTGTGAAACGGTTCTCTTTGACACACATTTCGCATTCTCTCTAGTACCTACGATTGTTGCTACCTACAATATATGGCGTATATTACATTTTAACTACTAATATACGCCATCAATTTTGCTAATTGAGTATTGTACTGTAATCATCGATAAATGTCAAAAAATATTTTTCTCCACTATAACCACTTGTGCCATGTCATCACATCATCACATCAACAGCCTTTAATAGTCCACTGCTGGACATAGGCCTCTCCTTAAAAAGAAGGTTTTGGCCTATGTGGACCGTTTAAATCAGTATTTATCAATTCTAATATTTCAGTAGTCGAAGAGAATACTCAATTAATTTGTCTAGAAAAGGTTGATGATGAAAAGGATAAGGATTTAGAAACTAACAAAACTATAAATATTAAAAATGAAGAATTTAAAACTAACATTGATGAAAACTATGTAGATGATAATGAAACAAATTCTAATAATACTGTGGAAGATCTTGTTAATGATGGTAAAAATGAAGATAATGTAAGCAACGATAAAGACAAACTTATAATAAAAGAAAGGGCTAAAAGAAAGATAACTCCAGTGTCTAGATATGGTAATTCAGTATCACATTGTATTTATGTAAATTACATAGATGCGAATGTACCAAATACATTTGAGGAGGCGATGAACTCCCATGACCATAAACAATGGGAAATAGCGACGGACTCGGAAAGACCTTGTTGAAAGACCTTGGAAAAATTTAAAGTTATATAGGCATAGATATTGATTATACTGATGATAGAAAAAAAATGACCTTAAGTCATACAAAGTATATTGAATCTTTGGCTGTCAAATATAATCTAAGAAATACTAAGTTGTATGAAACTCCAATAGAAACAAACTTGAAATTAGAACAAGCTCTTTTCTCTTTTCCCTCTTTTATAAAAGACAACTCCCGCATTAGGAATAAATCCTGTGTCGCGGGGGACTTTACAAACATACATGAAACGGACACAAAGAACACCCAGACTCAGAACAACAATTTGTGGATCACACAAAGTGTCGTCCCATGTGAACCCACAACACTCGGCGTAGTAGGAAGCGGCGTGGCGACCGCTTAAACCACTACGCCATCCATGCAGTCAAAGCTAAAGAAGTTGATGAAAGTATAAAGTACAGAAATATAATAGGTGAATTATTGTAAATTAGTACAGGCACTAGGCCAGATATAGCATATAGTGTTAATTACTTAAGCCGATATCAAAGTTGTTATGACCGAACACATTACAAATATGCTATGAGAATCTTAAAATATTTGTATAACACTAAGGATTTAAAATTATCTAACTATGATAGTATAAATACTGAAACATTGGATTGTATGGTAGACTCTGACTATGCAGGAGATAATGTAGACAGAAAATCTACAACAGGTTTTGTAATTAGATTATCTGAAAACTTATTTTTTTGGAAAACACATAAACAAAATACAGTAACTAAATGATCAACTTTTGCTGAATACATTGCAATGTCAGAAGCAGTGACTGAAGTACTTTTCATTAGAAACTTGTTAAGTGAATCATTTAATATAAAATTTGATAAACCAATAAAATTGTATGAAGATAATTCAGGAGCAGTTTCGATTGCTAAATACGGTAATTTTACTAAAAAATCAAAGCACATTGAAGTGCAGTATCATTATATAAATGAAAACTATGAAAAGGGTATAATTGATATTGTAAAAATTGATTCAAAATTTAACTTAGCTAACTTAGATATGTTAACTAAAAGTTTAGATAAGACTAAATTTTTGAGAAATTGATTAGGGCTTAGATTAATTTAGTTTACACAGTTTTTTTGTTTGTATTTCTTTTGTATAAAAGATAAAGAGTATAAATTTAAGGAGGCGTGTTGTAATTTGTGTAAAATGTAAATATTATTCTCTTTATGTTCATAAAGTTATGCGTGGCGCCGTCTATTGGCAAAATAATTAAGTTAGTGACGTTAGAAGAACAAAATAACTGTCATGGCCTCACTTGTCTCCTCTTTTGAAATGCGTACAAGAAGTAAGACCGTTTATAATTATATAAAATAATAGATAATAAAGTGATGTGTTACAACAGTGTCTTATTAATCAAGAGTCCATCATCACAACAAGAATAATGCTTAATGTGAGGTTAAGATTTCTTTTAATGACGTTAAGACCCCGATATGTATGTGCAAAACACTTAAACTTTGAAATGTCGCAGGCAAGCTGTGATCATATTTACATATGAAATGAAAAGACTTACGCGTTTTGATTATACCTACTCATAGTTTATAAGTATCTTTAAGAGTAAAAATTTAGTGGCTCTATTGCATGCAAAATATAGAAAATCAAAATAAGGAACGGTAACGACTGGAAAGTTAAGTGATTCCATATTTTGTTAAACTGATGCTTCACGTGTCGATATACTAAATCGGAGAAGCGTGAGAGGGCTTGAAATAACAAACAAAATCGCTGCCTTGTATTGGGCACGATATAACATTTGGAAGGCAAAAAGAAAATATGAAAAGGCGGAATATTGCCAGACGAAATTACGATCGCTTTAGATTCCGTACGGCCCATTGAGGGGTGAATTGTTACCTTCATACATTGCCATAAAGAATCTATTTGTTTTTCCTTAGTCAAGTCATATCGATTGTCTTCAACATAAATTTGCTAATGCAATACAAGCGAATACATTCATGAGTTTCTGTGGAAGAACAAATTTGAATTTATTCTTCAAGTTTAGTGCGACAACTATAGTAAACATTTTTAAATTTTACGAACAAAATTTTAAGAATTCTTATTGTAAAAACGACCAAACAAGCTCTTAATTATATCGTAAGTATTACACCAAAGAGTTTTAACATATTCCCATTATAGTGACTACAGTCTAAGTAAAAGCCTAGTTAGCGAGCGTCACAGGAGAATTGAATATTAGCATTAACAAGACAAATGTGCCGTTGGAGTTTGATAGTTTCTCATTAGGAGCCGGCCGGACCTGTCCCGTCACATTCACTAAGCCGCTTTACTACACAACTTCTTCAACCACTCCCATTATGAACAAGGAGTAAAAGCGGTAACTCAAGTAAGTGTTCCATGCATGTTAGATAACTTGCTGGATTGATTTGAGCACTTTTAACTGATGACAAATCAAATTAAGTCATAATACACTATGATTTTAAGTTTCAGTTAATTATTCACATGTTATTTTCCTTTAACACATTATGAAACAATAGCAGCCTGTGAGGTGAGATGGACAATGACTCACCTCCGAAATTTTAAATTGGGAACAAAATATATAAATGTAAATGTTCTGATAAAAAAAATCTGCCCATGATTTGTGGCACTAGTCTTTAAAAAAATATTTTACGAAACTTCATTAAACAATTTTACAAAGCTAATTAGTTACTTGTAACACTATTATTATCCATTTTTTATTCATACCACAGGAACGTCTTGGATGTCATAGAACTTATATCAGGACAGGACAGGATTAGTGATTATTGTCCCGATCAGATGCCGAGTACGACAAATAACAACCATTAACACGTCTTTATCTAACAATTGGCTTTATTAGATCTACACACAACTTAACTTCATTGGCTTATAAAGGGGACAAGTTTTTTTTTAAACATAATTACAAACTACATTCCTTTTTATTGCTTGAACATAAATTTAGTCCTAGCCCAATATACTCGGAGCTTGTGAAATCTTGATATCTAACCGATTCAAGTGTATAGAAGAAATCTTATCTAGAAGCCAGATGTGAGCTTAGTTAGAGAGGACCGATTAAGGTTGTCGTAACTCTCGCTACAAAACTAAAAAAAATAACTAAAAGCAAGACTACTCACATACACACTACCACCATACGATGTATGTAGCCATCTAATTTATTTAGCTTTCATTAGATTTGTTTATAAAATAGTGTAAGCCATAAAACACTGAGTGCGCCCACTGCACTCCATTCGTATCGTCTCTTATGCAAATAAGTGTCGTCTCTAAACGTTGCCCTTTGTTTCTCTCGCTCTCTGTCCTAACGGAGACGAACAGACTTCAATCGCACAACTTTTCCTGAGACCAGATTAGTTTTGCTCTAACAATATAGTAAAATGAGCGACCGTTAAGCTCAAGTTTAGTTCGCATAATGATACGATCTATCTTACAATTTTAATAGAAACTGTTGAAAAATATTCATACGAATAAAGTACGTACGCATACGTACTTATACATTCACTATTAAATTTTGAAACTTTTTTGATAAGTGTGATATATGAATATGACTTATTCTTTTTCCGTTCAACGTTCCGTTACGTTCTTGGTGTTAGTTCAACACAGTTAGGGTCGTCAACTCTAGTTAAAATAGCGTGAGTTGCACTCGAAAGGTGGTTACAGCTTGACATCTCTATCCGTTACCAAAGTAGCCCCGTTCAAGTTTGTTCATACAAACTCCGCTTCTACTTTCCCTATAAAGTAGAGTTGTGACAGCGAGTAATGTCTCCTTATATTGTTCTGGGGCTAAGAGGTTTGTCTCCTAGTTGTGATGAGAATTCTTAACTTTTACATCGTACCGTATCTAGTTAATTTATTGCAGTCGCACTTTGAATTTTTAATAGACACATCCGAACTACAGCAACAACTGCAAACATAATAAATGACGGCTGGAATTTATATTACTCGGAGGAATGGAGGAAAACATCGTTACGCCTTATTAATGACTGCGGAACGTCTTAATATCCTAGCGGGAGCAAAGAGTTTCGGCGATAATCGATATTTCCGAATATCGATTATGAAGTTAGTGCGAAAATCATCAGGCGCGGGTGGGTGCTTGACAAATGTCCGTTATAAGCGCGGAACAAATTGGTGCAATTAATTACAAGTCAGGAACGCTGAGCCGACAAATATTATCAAGATCGTTAATTTCGACATCCTAGAGGAAGGCGGGAGATATTAAGCATTATACGAATGTGCAGCGCACGCGGTGCGACTAGCGATGATTGGTAGTGAAGCCCGCGCGCCGCGTTCTAACTGTGCTCCCCCGGTTTACATGCCGTCTTATTAGCTCTGAATATATATGCTACCCACTAAATAGATTTATTTAACATTCATAAGATTTCATTTAATTAAATTCAAGTTTATAAATTATATCACGATTATTTTATTAATATAACGTATTGACTAGTTAAAATTATTAAAATATTATAGCAACCATATAGAAATTGGTCTTAGATAGTACCTCGGGGGGTGGTATGTATGTGCCTGAACATAAGTCTGGTATTGAAGACGCTGGTAGAGTTTAACTCTGTATGAACTCGACGATGAAAGCAGTGACCGAAGGTATCGTAATGGAATAGGTATGGAATAAAAAAACTCTAAAAATGACATAATGACACTTGTATTTATACTTTCTGATTTCTCCATCGCACTTTACAATTTCCAACTTTCTAATCAGACGAAACATCGTCTGATTTGGTTTAATACATTAATGCATTCATTCCTTTAATGTTTTAACACAATAGAAAGGTAAGAAAAGTGTTTATTTCCGATTTTCCTTATTACTAAAGCCAACCCTTTCCTTTAATCAACGGTAAATAAGTTAATTAACACTCAGGGCACGAAGGTGAAAAATTATTTCGTTAACAACTTGAAATGAATCACAGTGTTGAATTAAGCATTGTTATTAATTATTTAAAGTAATAAATAAAAGAAACACACAGAA